AAGAATGGTACATTTGTGAGTCAAGGCAAGTACATCAAAGACATGCTCAAGAAGATTGGCATGAATGAAGCAAAGGCCACAAGTACACCAATGGGAATAAATAATAATTTGGATAGTGATGCAAGTGGCAATATGGTGGATCAAAAGTTGTATCAGTCTATGATTAAAAGCCTACTCTATGTGACCGCATCAAGGCCGGAGGTCATGTTTAGTGTGTGCATGTGTGCAAGATTTCAAGCCTCACCAAGAGAAAGTCATTTGAAGCCTACTAAGAGAATATTAAGATACTCGAAGCATACACAAAATATTAAGGTTCTTCGACTATGCGGGATGCAAGGTTGAAAGGAAAAGCACCTCAGGCATATGTCAATTGTTGGGAAGATCACTTGTTTCATTGTCATCAAAGAAGCAAAATAGTGTTGCATAATCAAATGCCAAAGCCGAATACATATCCACCGGTAGTTGTTGTGCACAAATACTTTAGATGAAGGCCACCTTGAATGACTTTGGAATCAAGTTCAAGAAAGTGACATTGCTATGTGACAATGAGAGTGCAATCAAGCTATCCAATAATCCGGTTCAACATGCAAGAACAAAGCACATTGACATTCATCACCATTTCATAAGAGATCATCAACAAAAGGGGGACATTTGCATTGAGAGTGTAGGCACCGAAGATCAACTTGCCAACATGTTCACCAAGCCATTGGATGAGAAAAGGTTTTGCAAGCTAAGGAATGAGTTGAACATATTGGATTTCTCAAATATGTGTTGATGCACCCTCCACTTATATGACATGCCTCTCCTCCGAGCAATCCAAGGTAAAAGTTGATTGGCATGGCATACATCCTTTGCTAAGGACTTGTTTAGTGCATCTAGTCATTCCACATGTCTTAGGCTCATTCATGAAAATCAAATAAATTTGATGCTTGTATGGTACCACTATTGCTTCTATGCTTGACTTGATCTAGTGGTAGCATATGACATGTTTATGGGATTGTGAACCTAGTGTTTGATCTAGAAAATGAGCTATAAGCGTTTAACTCAACATGGTGCAAGATAACCCTTGAAATGAGGTGTGAAGAAGCTTATCCTTGAATCAACCCGAGTTAAATATCTTTGGCAAGTGTTCTAGATTGAACCAAATTTGAGAAAATGATCCTTACCCCATTGATTGATATTGATAATCCTAACCTATCTAAAATTAAACCTTTGTAGTCATTGATGACAAAGAGGGAGAAATTGCACAAAGATAAGGTTAAGGGGAGAACTTTGACATAGGGGGAGAGATATGACAAAGTAAAGGGATCAATTAAAATTTGAGCTCACAAGTAGGGGGAGCAAGCTCATAAACTTGATTGATTCATTTGAATGTGCATTTCATATGTTTGCTTGCATGGCACAAGTTTTAAATTTCAATATCCATGCTTGTGTGGTGTATGCTAGTTGTAGGTTTGATTGATGAAATGAAAAACTAGCATGCATAGGTTGAGTAACTAGACTTGTGTTTATATTGTAAAAACTAGACCCTTGTTTCTAATGTTGATTTCACGAGGTATTCTAGTTTTTGTGTATGTCTAGTTATTAATGGTGTTAAGGATGGTATATTTGGTGCACTCCGATTGGTATCACGCTTCAAAGGTCCATCTCTTATACCTTATCATCATTTGGTAGACATTGACTCCTATATTTCCTATCTAAGCATATGTACAAGCTTCAATTCAAACTCTTAGCATATATGTAGGGAGAGCAATTGCTACCAATGGGGTTCATGAAACTTGTCTATATCTTTTTACACATGGTAAATATGCTTGGGCAAGCAACATGAATTCAATTGAATTTTAATTCATATCTTTATGAAAGGGTTGTTATCAATTACCAAAAATGAGAAGATTAAAAGCTCTAGTTTGGTTTTGGTGAATTGATGAAACCCTAAGTGCTAACCTAGTTTATCAAAGTGATCATGAGATAGGTAGCACTATTCTAAGTGGTGGAGCAATGGTGAAGATCATGATGATAGTGTGGTGGCCATGGTGATCAAGTGCTTGGCTTGGAAAAGAAGCAAGAGAAAAACAAAAAGCTCAAGGCAAAGGTGAAACTTGATATGAGCTTTTTAATTTGGTGATCGAGACACTTAGCGAGTGTGATCACATTTAGGATCGATAGCCGTACTATTAAGAGGGGTGAAACTCATATCGAAATACGGTTATCAAAGTGCCACTAGATGTTCTAACTCATTTTCATATGCATTTAGGATCTAGTGGAGTGCTAACACCCTTGAAAATGTTTGTGAAAATATGCTAACACACGTACACAAGGTGATACACTTGGTGGTTGGCACATTTGAGCAAGGGTGGCAAAGTTTGTGAAGTGGAGGAGGTGTTTCGTGTTGACCGGACTCACGACCGGGCCCTGCATGGGCGCGTCCGGTCAACGTGGCAGTGAAGTGCGCGGCTTCGGTTCCTGACCGGACTCTGGCGCAAGCGCGCGACGAGATAAAGGCCCTACGCGTCCGGTCGCTTGTGATGTATGCTGACGTGGTGGCGTTTGAACTTGGCATGAAGCTGGAGAAGGATCGGACACTGGCCTACGTCCGGTCATCCTGGATCTGACGCGTCTGATCAAGAAAGTGCAGCTCTGGACCCTCTCTAGAAGTGACCGGACTCCACGTTGTTGGAGCGTCCTGTCAGTCCTCGGGTGCGTCAGGTCGTTGGCTTTGTGGCCAGGGCGCAAGATCGATCAGACGCGGTGTGAGCGTGTCAGGTCACGTCCTCGGTGCGTCCGGTCGTCTTTTGACCATTGACACGGGCGAGGCGACAGTTGGAGATCTGTGGCTCGTATTTGAAGACAGGGACACGTGATGCGAATCGGTGCACCGGACGCTGAGCGTCGCATGTCCGGTCAGATCGACCGGTGTGTCCGGTCAGACCGATCAGTGCGTTCGATCAGCGTGAGGCAAACTGCCTCTTGAGCCCAACAACTCTATTTCGAGGGGGCTTCTATTTAAGCCCCTTGGCTGGCTCAAGCTTACTCTCTTGGCCATTTGCATTGACATAGCAGACTTGTGAGCTTAGCCAAAGCCCTTCCACTCATCTCAATCATAGATTCATCATCTTTGTGAGATTGGGAGTGAATCCAAGTGCATTGCTTGAGTGATTGCATCTAGAGGCACTTGGTGTTCGTGTTTCGCTACGGGTTTCGCTTGTTACTTTTGGTGGTTGCTGCCACCTAGATGGTTTGGTGCAGCGAGGATCGTCGAGCGGAGGAAGGTGCTTGTCTCCGGCTCCGATCGTGGTGATTGTGAGGGGTTCTTGACCTTTCCCCGGCAGAGAGCCAAAAGATACTCTAGTGGATTACTCGTGACTTGTGTGATCCTCATCTTGTGTTGGTTGTGCGGCACCCGGTTGTGAGTTTGGCATGCGATGGCAATTAGCGCGTGAACCTTCAAGTGAGTGAATCGCCACAACGAGGACTAGCTTGCCGGCAAGCAAGTGAACCTTGGTAAAAAAATCTTGTGTCACCTTGTCCCGAGGATTTCTTGGTATTCATTGTGATTGATTGGCTTCATCTTGTGATTGGCTCATATCTCAACACGTCAATATAATCATCATCATTCTCTCTTGTATGTACAATTCTAGTGTTGCTTCGCTCTTTAGTGTAGTTTGTCTTGAGAGCAAGCTTATGTCGGGTCTAGTGGTTAGTGAGTCTCTTTAGTTTAGTCTTTAAGAGCTCAGTAACTTAGTGTAGTGACATAGCAATTGTGTGGATAGAGACTATAGATACTAGAATTGTGGTAGGTGGCTTGCATTTTTTAGTAGACTAGCGCAACATTTGTTTCGCCTCATATTTGTCTAATCGGTTTGTTAAGTGTTATTATAAAAAATTTTATAGACTATTCACCCTTCTCTGACCATTAGGACCTTTCAATGGTCCACATCATTTCTCACCAAAACATCCCCTTAAAGTATGTTTATCCACAGCGTTGCGGCAACAAGTTTTGCAGACAGCAAAAAATAGAATCATAGACTTTACTTTTTTAGGACCAGTCATTTTAGTGGAAGCCTCAGAAAGGTATAGCTACCCATATCGGGATTATACTTATAGAAGTATCCTGACTTTGAGAAAAGGACTGGGCGAAGGGACCGTGTGGCAAGCGCGGAGAGCACCCTCTCTACTTCTCAAACATAATTCAGAAACGAGTGGGTAGAAGAGTTGGTTTTGGTTCACTATTAAATTTGAGCTTTTGCAACAATTTCGTCAATCTCTGCCAACTAGTTTTTGAAAGTGTTTAGGATGAGGTGTGTATGCATGTATTTAAAGGGATGGGTATGCGTGCATGTATTCAAAGGTGTTTGTACTGTGTTTCAAAGAAAAAAACTCACGGTTAAATAACATCGGTGGTGGGTTTTGCAATCCTCTAAAAAATAAAATTACCATATATGTGAGCAGTACAATGCAAGACATTTATATATAAGTAGTACAACACATTTTTACACTATCTATATAAAGAAAGTAGTATAGCGCACTTGCTGCCTTACACTATTTCATCTACAAGCACACAATCATGCATACATATGCATATACCATATATGCATTCCGTAGACACGACGTTACATATGTATATACATTAATACATACGGGTTTATCGTCACTTCATCTCCATCACAGCGGAAACCAAATACGACACTGAATGGCACACTCGGAATATATATATATATATATATATATATATATATATATATATATATATATATATATATATATATATATATATATATATATATATAATTACTTTGATGCAACAAACTGCTCCAGGTGAGCTCTAGCTAATTAATGACACACTTGTTAACAGGGTAGTATGTAGTACGCGGGTGAAGAAGGTGCAGTGTAACTGCAGGCAGATAGTAGACCTGTCGTCGAGGTCGAGAGAGACGCCCGCGAGCATACATGCATGTTCACTGTTGCATGCATGGCACGCCGGCCATATGTGTATATGCGCTTCAGTCCCTATCGTTGAAACCGAACTTGCGGTCGAAGAAGTGGCCGACGGCATGGAACGCCGGGCCGAAGAACCCGCCGCCTCTCCTCCTCTGCTGGTGGTCGTCGTTGTTGTTGTTATCATTGTCGTACCCACCAGGCACGCCGTACATGTGCACCGCCCTGGTGTTGATGTACAACGGCGACCTGGAGCCGTCCTGGGGAGCCCAGAAGGCGGGGGGAGCGTTGCTGTACGGTGCGTCGCCGCCCGTGCCGTAGGGGGCGCTGTTGCCGTAGTAGCTGCCGCCGCCGTAGGGAGCGCTGTTGCCGTATCCGCCACCGCCGTAGTAGGGAGAGCTGTTGCCGTATCCGCCGCCGCCGCCGTAGTAGGGCGAGCCTACTACGCCGCCGCCGTTGTAGCGGTGGCTGCTAACGCCGTTGTAGTCGTCGTCGGTACCGCCGTTGCTGTTCCTGTGGTTATAGCGGTTGTCGCCGCCCTCGTCTTTGCTACCGCCGCTGGTGTTGTTGGTGCCGTACTTGCTGGGGTAGTCGTCCTCGGCGTCGGCGTCTTTATTCTTGCTGCCGCTGCTCTTCTTCAGCCGCGAGGACGCGCGTTTCTTCCCGCCAGTCGCTTCATACTCCTGGCCTCCGCCACCGTATCCGTACGGCTGGTCGTTGCCGTTGTCCTGCCCGCCGGCGAAGTATGATCTGCCGTTCCACATCCCTGCTGGTAACACACAAGAGAGTTGATCAAGAAAAGCGAGAGGATGCTACGAGACAGCAAGTGAAACAGAACTGCTGCTTCTGCTTGCACGTTACTTTGATCCACATACACAGGAGCTATATCTAAAGATAGATATTTGGAGATATATACAAACAGTAAAAAAGTGAAAAGGGAGAGAGGAAAAGAAGAGGCTTTGGTTGGAGCATGCATGCGCCGATGCGCGTTCGTACCGGCAGGTGGAGGCAGACAATAGGACCGTGAGCAGCTAGCTGCCTTTGCAACGAGCAGTGAGAGCAAGCAGCCTTCATAAAGGACTCCAAGTCAACGTCTGCTCAGTTCAGGTCAAGGGAAAAAATGCATTCTTTTTTCGCAGACATCCGTCAAGCAGTGCATGCGGCGTCCTCAGCTGTTGTTTCGTCACCCACCAGCATATATTAAACATTTTTGCATAGCTATAAAGAAATGGTTCAGATTAAATTTCTGATCCGGATAAGAGGAGTATCATCACAAGCAAGTCTATTCACAACACTCCTGAAGAGCGGAAATTTCTGAGAGCTGAAACAAGTGGCCTACACCTAACACCTCGTGGCAGCCTACTGTCATTTTTTTTTTGAAACAAAGCAGCCTACTGTCATTGTCCCCGTACGTAATAAGTAGATATGTATCGAGGGGAACTCTGCACGTACCTGCTCGCTAGATGTCTTGGTCCACACGTATATCCAAACGAAATTATAGTAATTCGCCCATCCTCAACATGACCAATGTTTGTTTACGAAGATGGATAGGCATCGTCTATCTGTGTGTTCATCATCATCCCGGCAGCTATAGCATCAGTCTTGCTAGTGACATATATATGGTTTAAAGTTTAGCTAAAGCGCACTAGCACATAAGTTAGCATTGTGAATCAATCGATGGATGATACTACATCTATCATCTAGTATGCTTTTATCCACACACACGCAAAAAAAAAAACTACCATACCAAATGTATTCTGTCCTTATACAGGTCATCTGCCAAAATTAGCACAGTCATTCTCAAGAGAGCTAGCTCGAATTTAAGCACCAATTAATATATCCCAAAGTTAAAACTAAACATACTTGTCTAACATACGATGCCAGCTTAGGATTATAAGATGGATCACCTTGATGGATTGTATGCTAAATTATTGCCCGGCCGGCCGATCGATAGTGGCAGGTAAAAGGATGAGAAGATGAGTTGTTACGGCACCGTACCTGAGACCGTCAATTCCTCAATCTTGTGTCTGACAATTCACCCTCTCATCGATTGCAATGTGTTAATTAGAATAGTAGCGGTCGAAATAAAACTACCATGCACGCGCGTTTATTTTTAATATATATATATATATATATATATATATATATTAGTTGGCTACAGAATAATTCATCTTGTAGCCGGGCCGGAACTGCCGAGCCCGAGCGTCTCGCGCACGGTGGTCACCCAAGCCCCGCGCGTGGATTTGGAATGGTGGTCCCGTCGGACTAATGCATGCATGCATTGACTCAATCCCCCGCCCCGTCCATTCATCCCCGCAGGTCACGCGCGTGTTGCTTTGGTGGTCCCCTTGGACTGATTCAATCCCCTGATATATATATATCAACGTTATTATTGTTAACAGCGATGGATTTCACTGTCGCGACTGATCCGATCTTCCCTGACATGCATGCATAGTAGATTAGTAGAGTACTGAGCAGTCACTTTGAGGTTTTTTTTTCCTCGATCGTCTTTTCCAAACAACCACACCGTACCTTTAATTACTTTATTACGTTGAATATATGAATATACACTTCACCGTGACTCAGGGGGTTGCGCCCCCCTAACTGGTGCATCAATGGAAATATGGGAGAGTGAGGGAGAAGAAGAAGTAGAGGAAATAAGAAAAATGAAGAGAGCTTCAATCTCGTTCTGCATCCATCACTGCCATGACTCCGTGGATCACCATTCTTTGTCTATCGCATAGACGCGTACGTAAGCATGCACGTCATATAGGCTGAGTGAAGAGTCATCACTAACAACGACGACTCCGAAGATGAACGCGCACCTAGATATACTCACAGCTTTGTCGTTGAGTAGTAAAAGTACTCCATGTGTCCCTGAATAAATAGATTTCTAGAGTTATCTTAGTTTAAATTTTTTAAACTTTGATCGATTTTTAAAAAAAATCCATCAAGACTTATGACATCAAATCAGTACCATTAGATATGTTAAAGTATATATTTTCATAATGTGTCTATTTTATGTTATAAATGTTGTTACTCTTTTTTATAAAGTTGGTCAAAATTAAGATAATTTGACTTGTAAGAATTCTAGGAATTGATTTATTTAAAGACGGATGGAGTAACAAATAAATAAGCAGCGTAGTCAACTTTATTTGTTTTGCAGAAGAAATATGGTCAGTTTAACTGCGTGGCTGATCAACAGCATAGCCGGCAGGATACGGATCACGACGAGAGCAGGCGGGACCACATAGACCAGTCAGCCAGTGACCGTGGATTCATTTTATTTGCTGAGCTACGGTATACTCCTCCATACTTAAAAAAATCGTTTTAGCAGTGACACGGTCTCCAAAGCATAACTTTAACTACTTATTTTTATAAAAATATTTATCAAAAAGTGATATATGTAAATTTTTGTGAAAGTATTTTTCAAGACAAATCTATATATATGGTTTACTCAACAACTTAAAAGTTATTCATGATTTATATTCCCAATATTTAACCTAAGCCTTGTTTAAAACGACTTTATTTTTTTAGTATTAGGGAGTATATAATAATGTGATATGTCACCATACTAGCTTGAATTAATAACTAATTTTAATTTACAGGCGAGACCTGTATATATATTTGTGCTATTAAAATAAACTGGCTTTCAAATCGTTCACCTTCGCGTGGCACGTACTACATATCGTTCTCCGGATGCACGCTGGATGTGGTTGCTGTTCGGCAGGATTTATTGCTGCTGCGGCCAGCGCTGGATCCAGGATTCAGTCATGACTAAGGTCAAATTTCAAAGGCGAAATACCAATCGCTACACCATAGTCTATATGACTATATATATATATATATATATATATATGTGTGTGTGTGTGTATGTGTGTTATATACTGGTCGAGAGCGACATGATGATAAAGTTCTAGTCCTCTTCATCTTCTAAACAAATTAAGAAATCTATAAAATTATATTCTAATTAGAATCAAAAGTTCAAATTATACATAGAAATGACAAAATTGAAAATTTAAACCTAGAAGTTAGAATCAAAATCAGCAGAGAATTGAAATAAAGAGAAGAAATCCCTTCACTCTTCCTATTCCAGAGTTCCTACTCTGCTAGCGCGGGGCTCCGGGCGGCGAGCGATGGCGCAGCGAAATTGAAAACTGGAAATTTGGAATCAAAATCAGTTTCAGGTCTAAATCTAACAAGGGAAGTTTGCTCAGTTGCTCTGCTCGCATGCAAGGAAGGAGCCGGGCAGCTAGCAGCGTCGCAATGGGCGGCGGGCGGCCGGCCGGCGCCGCCGCGCTGGGCTAAGGAAGGAGCCGCGCCGGCGTCGCCGCAGAGCGCAGAGAGGAGGGGGCGAGGCCATGGAACCGGAGTGCGGAGCGGAGGGCTGGAGGGGGTGACGGGTGATGGCGGCGAGCGGTGCAGCGTGGGCGACGGGCGGCGGTGGCAGTCATGAGTCTCGCGACGCGAGCAAGCTACCGAGCGAGAAGGCAAGCCCCGAGCGGCTCTAGTGCTCTGTTGCCCTACTCTGTTGCCTGGCTTGCTTATGTTAGGCTACTTCATAGGCCAAAAACTGAAGACCTGCTCTCTTGTTACATGGGCCACGACTAGGGCCATGGCCTGGGCTGCCCTAGTGCTGGGTCCGTCCATGGCTACGACTGATTTGTAGGGCTAATTTGTTGTGAGAGAAAAACACTGTTTCCATGACTGAAAAGTAGGGCTGATTCTGGCCGATAATCTCGAGCGAACAGGGCCTATATATGAGCCTGGTTTATATCTGCTGCATCTAAAAGTACAGTATTTTACAATGGACAATATATAATTGATGAGACTTTCATTTGATTATACGTTAGCATCGAAGTTTCGGTAGCCCAGTAACCGGGTGTGCTTCCTGTTCCTGTCCAGAAGGGGTCTCTAGTTTTTGAGCCACAGACAAGTGGAGAAAGCACGGGTGACGCTGACAACCTGACATGATGGTAATTAACCACAAACAAAGACACGCTTAGTATTATATACTGGATCATACACACTACTTGGCTGGGATGCAAGTCAAGCAAGGTACGTCACGGGTGATGCAGATACGTGCGTGTTAGTTTTTTTTTTTTTTATCCGACGGATTGCTTCTCTTGTGACGGAAGACGCATTCCCGGGCCGGCCTGGGTGAATGCGAGGCCTAGGGCACCCCAACGCCGGGCCCATCAGGCGTCAGCCCATGGTCGCAGTGAGGCCCGCGACTGCGCGAGCAACCTGTTCCTACGGGCCAGCGGCTCTTTCCGCGGGCGCATCATGCATAGCGGTCCCTTGCGGACTACCCGATGAGGCGATGACCCAAGAAATCAGATGAAGTGATGCCGTTAGATCTCCATCGACCACCCTAGAGACACCCAAGAAAAAAACAACGATCTCAAATAGCTAGGCTCTGCTATAAACAGAACCAGCAAAGAATAGATCACCTTTTTGGCATTTTTATGAGCAAAATACTGGATACCCCATGGCCCTACTCAGCTGCAAGCAGAATTAGGTTTAAATGAATTCGAAAAGAAAAAACAATTGCAATGCTTCTCAACAGCTAAAAGTTGCAGACATCCGGCAACGGTTTTCATCAGCTAAAACAAGTGCCCTGTTCACCTTATTTAGCTGATAAGCCATGGCTAAAAGTATTGTCGGTTGATTTGGTGTGAGAGAAAAATATTATTCGTTGACTAAAAAAATACAGCTTATAAGCCAAATAAGCCCAAGCGAACAAGGTGAAGGCGACCAACAACCTTACACATTTACTATTTTATATTTTTATTCCACCCAGTTCCAGAGAATGACACTGTTATTATTATTCTACTTCCCAGTGCCCAGCTACTGTAGTGTATATATCAATCATCAAATATATGGGATTCTCTAAAAGCACAGATGAGCAGGCCCATCCCAGCTGAACAAAAAAGCGCCGGCACACGCTTCTGGACCACGGTCTCATGTACAAATTACACATCATGTAAACACATGTACACTAGTCTCAGCACAAAATTACAAGAGGTTAAAGGAAAAATACCCGCGACCATCCACAAATCTCAACAGCGCAACCCCCTCCCAATTGGAAGGAGATAGGTCGTGCCCTGTGACTCAAACAAATATAGCCCTTGTAACCCTTTTCCTATGCTGATCAAACAGAGAGATCATAGCTGTTTCATTGATGGAACCATGTCGGAGATGAACTCCATTTACCCAAAGAGGCCACACGGAGCATATGGTGTGTCCTACTGTCCTCTTTAGCCTAGAATGTCCTTGAAAAGATTGGGATTGTTCCCTGTTGGTGTCACGCCTACTTGTCGTGCAGTCGCATCCTTTTGCAAGGCATCTTGAAGGCTTGGACCCTTCTTTGAAGCCACTGCAGTTGCTCCTTTGTGGGAGCTCGTCGAATTAACATCACCTAGAGTGGGATCAGTGGATCCACTAGCCACTCCAGTTGGTACATCATCTGAGAAGATTGACATAAGATCTGGTGCTTTGGAAGTGCTGGTAGCCGGAGTTCCAGAAAGCACCGGAGCAGCCGATGCTGGTCCAAGAAGCCCCTCTAACTGTGAGAAAGGATCAGCCGATGGAGGATTTGATGAAACTGGCTCATCACCCAGATCCAGCAGATCAGGCGGTGGTGCAGCAGGGATTACTTGCTCCTTAACAGGCTGGGCAGTCACATTAGTGGTAGCTACTTTCTCAGTTGAGGGACTGTCCTTTGCTGTCTTTCTAGATGCTTGTGCTTTCCTATCAGCTTTAGCTGCTGCCGAACCAAAAAGTGAAGCAGCCAGCCGTTGCTTTTCTGCTGAAACTTCCGTGCCCTGCTGTCTCTTAGAACCGTATGAGGACTCCCGTGGCTGCGAACTTGACCCTCCCCCATCAGAATGAGAGGCCCCATTGGTTGTTTGTTGACTAGACGCCAAGCTTGAGGGTGTAGAAGAGGAATACGTTGGCCTTCCCCATTTCTTTTGGACCCCATCAAGGCAAAGTTTGACACCAAACTCACCAGAAACCGCATCACCTGGTGGTTGAGACTTTGATGTTTGATGGTCTTCCTTATAGTAGCCTGGCTCTGTAACTGGAACCAGGTCAGTAGTTGGTGTGGACATGCTGGTTTGTGAAGTTGCTAATGGCAACGAAGGTTTAGGCATCTCGTAGGCCTCAAATCTAAGAGTATGGGCAGATGTTTCCTGTTGTTCTTGGCTTCTGTAGCTGCCAACACTTATAACACCAGAACGTTCACTCTCTGGAATGTAAGGGGACGCACCATTTTCCAAGGCTTGCTGCACATAACTGTTTAGAAATGAGAGGTTTCTGTCGACCTGCAATACAAACATAAATTTACAAGATTGTTACTCTTTATTATAAAAAATAGAAGGGAAGATCCACGTGATGAAAACTCACAATAACCACATTTGGTCACTTGGAATTTCAACCTTTTAACATTGCAATTAAGGATTTTAGGGATATATGAGGACCGGGCTGTGACGTTGGGAAAAGATAAGAGGACTTGAATGTGGACTAGGGAAAAGTTGTGGTTAGGACTAACCTCACCACTCATATCCCTAAGTCCAAACACCCCCCTCAATTGAAAAAGAAACTGTGACAATAGCTTAAGGGAGGTCTTAGGAGAAAGATGGGACCATGGAATGAGGACATAGAACATTGAGCTAGAAAACAATATTTCGTTTTTGGAAAATGCATCAGTGGTTCTTAGGGCCTGTTTGGTGGTGTGGCAGAGCTCCAGCTTCAAGGAATGCAAGTATTTGTTGCTCCAAGAAATCTTGGGTCTGGAGGAGGTACATCGAGAGCATTTAATTTATATGAATCAATTTTTCTACATTTAGGCTAAATATAATATAAATATTTAAACCACTTTATTTTAGTCAACAAACTACAAATCCAACCTGGATCTTGGAGCTAGAGCTGTGCCAAACAGGACTTGTAGGAGTGTCACGTAGGCACCCAAATGAATAATTTGCAGTTCTAGGTCCCCACATTAGCTAATTGGTTCATTCAAGGTCCAAACCACTCTAGTCAGTGCTGATTGTGGCTGGCCTACTTGACATTCATGTCACCCTGTTTTTTTTCATCTAGTGTGGAACCTACATGCTAGATCCCTAGCATCATCTTCCTAATTGTATCATGCATGCCAAGTAGGCACACATATGTTGACTAATGGCATTTGGAGCTTGAGCAACACAATTAATAAGAGTATATGGATGTAAATCTGCAAATTAAGACCCGACACACCCTTGCATGCATGACACACACAACAAGTTTGAGGATCACCGGTGCACTTTACCCTTTTTTCTCCCCCCTAACTGAAAAAGAACGATTATAAAGCTCTCCTAACAGATTAGATTTAGCAATAACAGATCCAACTGAGTACCTCTGTAGCCAAAAACAAAATCCCTTAAGTGCCATAAAATGGTCACACACTTAGAAATGTAGGTCCGTACCACGCGTGTGAGAAATGTGTAAAATGAAATTCCTGCTCTAGGCGGAACATGAAAAGATATGCCCCAACATTCACATCTCGAAGTAAGCCTAGATAGTAGAAAAATCAGGTTCATTTAGAAGGATGACATAACACTACCTCAATATCTTCACAGCTTGCATCTGCAGGCATAACACTTTCAACAGCATTTTTGTCCAAGCCTAATAAAGCCTGTAGCTCGTATGCCCGTTGCTGCAAGTCTGTTGAATGTGAAGCTGACAATTCATCTACCAATGTTTGACACTGCAAGAAGAGAGAATATTTATAGATATTTAAAGTATAGAAACTAAAAACGCTACCAAATCCACAATAAGTTCTGCTTTTTGTGACTTCATTGTACAATTATGCCTGAAGAAAGTTTATTAATGATTTCATCAGTGGGGCCTCCTTGCCATGGCCCATGGGAATTATATTTACATCATATACGTGTGATTCCTATCATATACATTTTACATATATGCATGTGGTTCCCTGACAGAATATAATACAACAACAACAACAACATAGCCTTTCAGTCCCAAGCAAGTTGGGGTAGGCTCCTGACAGAATATAATGATATAAATAAATTATTTTAGTAAACATTGTCATGAAATCATATATGATGCAAGCATCCGAGGATATATAAAGAGCTGAATTCTCGTGATTGCTTTATATAGTCGGCCGTCCAACTTTGCAATGCTTGATATTACTGCCCGTTTTTAACCAAAATAGCAGTGTTCACAAAAGCAATGAACTAATCTTATTTATAATTTCATGAGAAACATGATGCTCTTTCTGTGAATGTGAAGACACATGTAATGAAACAGCATGGCTTGAAACAGACTAAAGCTTATTAAATTGATAAGGATAGTGACCGAACTATGAAAAAAGAAAGTCGCAGATGTTCATTTACCTCAGGCAGCAAATCAATCTTCCTTCCAAGAGCGATTTCAAACGCAAATATCTTAAGAATTGCTGAGATTGCATACGCCTTAAATAAGCAAAATCAAATAAACAATAACACCGTACGTCAATAATGGCATACAAAAAGGCATATCAACAACAGAACATAAACTTCCAGAAAAAACAATCAGTAATAGCCAGTGTCCAATGCATAATATAAAACATTTCCACTTCTCTGGTATAATGACACTAGATGATTTTTTCACATGTGAAGGAAAAACATTCAGTCATGTACAGTGTGGTCGGTAACATCAATATATGCTTGTATGTAGGGAAAAAACATATACTGCCCTGGTCACACAAAAAAATGCAATTCTAGCTCTGGTTAGAAAACTATCTTAAGTTTGACTAAGTTTATAGAAAATAGTATCGGCATACATGACTTCAAACAGGTATACTATGAAAATATATTTCATGACGAATCTAATGGTACTTATATAAATTTGGTCAAACTTGAGATACTTTGACTTAGCACTATTCTAGAATTGCATCCTTTTTGGAACCAATTATATGTTAAATTGGGCATAGAGTTTCCACTTGGCATTGGTGATACCAAAGTCCACACAGTCCCACTAAATAGTTGATCAATAGATTGAACTCCATACCAAGTTTCAGATTATCCAACAATGTGTCATGTGCTGTACTGTACTCTTCAAATTGCAGAAAAAGAGAGCATCTCCACCAAATATCCTATCTCATCTCCCATACCTATAATTTGTAAGTCCTAAAAGAAACACCCTTTCTCCTAATTCCTAAATAAAGGAGACAACACCCCCTCCCCTATCCCTAAAGAAATATAGGAGACAAGTTTTAGATAATCTACTACAACAGTATTCTCTTATATCCTAAATTGATCTTAAGGTGCTCTCCTAAAACAACTTACAGGAGATGTAATATAAGAGATCTGGTGGAGTAACCAAAAAAAATCTCCAGGGACAATTACAGATTATCAAACCAAACACAAGTTTTATAACAACCCCAGAACTGAATGGCAGAGTACCTAAGTAGAACCTATTGTCATATTTCAGCATAGAGCATGCAAGACATAAGGAGGCCAAGTCAAGTGATCAATGAAACATGAGCTACGCTACAAAAAGCATACCTTGACAGTGTCATCAGTGAGGTGGGCCTCTGCCACATCACACAACTTCCCAATAATATAAGAAGCAGAATATTTTCCATCTGCTGTTCCATATTCCCCCAAAACCCAGCATATTATCTGAACATAAAATGAATCAACATAAAATATCGCAAAAAACTATAATTTAGAATAGAAAGGACAAGGAAAATAACTACCTGCAGGAACGAAGAAGGAAGCTTTGGCTCTCCGACAATGCGGAGATAGGAATCTACCTGTTTAAGCACAAAAGAAGTGTTTTCTTTAGTAGTAAAAAAAATGTTATTGGCCCTGGCAGATCAAGCAGAGAAGACATGGAAAAAAGAGGTTCAATTGTGGCTATATAAAACATTGTTTACATACTCTAGAATAGAGTTGAACAATAGCATGAATTGAAGCATGAAAGATTGGAAATTTCCCTCAACAGTCAAGTTAGAAACCAGGAGCTATCCGTTTTGGGCCAGCTTTACATAAGTTTCCCAACCTATCTCCGTACTGTCATTGGTCAACTAAAGTGAATTTATCAAGCTAAATCGAGGCAAGTCCTTTTGTTTTCGAAATTTCAAGAGAAATTGACCAACTAGGGGATAAAATTATGATTGAAGGTGTATTTATCCACAGTAATCATGTCTGGCGTTAAGAAAGTGGCTACAATGAAACTTTGGTGCTGAGAGTACATACAGCCGACGATCTTAGCTGACTGTCAGCACCTTCATCCTCCTCTCCAAAGCCTTCAGCAATTAGCCGCATCAAATTGTGCGCCACTCTGATGTTGACAAGATCTCCAGCATGCTCAAAGACTTTGTTCATGGTCTGTAAGAAAATAGAGGAAGAAAACATTTAGCTCTCAAGAAACAAAAGATGCTTGACAACATTTAGGCCAGTACTCATGTAATTACCTGGATGAACCACTGATTGCTAGGCGCAAATTGCTCTGCAAGTTCAACACAACGTGATGCAATTTCTGTCTTGTAATGATGATCAGTTATGTTGATCATGTACTCAATCATCCTATCAACAATCACTTCAACATTTGTTGACTTTGTCATCTTATAAAGAAGCTCAAAGGTCTTGCGCTTCAAAGTATCATCTGGGTCCTATTCACAGGATTACACAGTGAGAAATCGAGAGTGGTACTGACAAAACAGAGTAACAAAAAAAATGTTAAATCACTGATACAAAGAAATATGTATACTAAGGTTGGACATAATAAACTGAAAAAAAAAAAGCATTCCTTGTCTTAATTTCTGAAACTAGAACATGACTACAATAAAATGGCTGTCTTCTTCTCTTGCATTGAGGAACATGTTACAGGGATGAACGCTATGGATGGCAGCAACATATCACAGAATCAATGTTTATCATACATTTTTAGTGCTTCACATGGCACATCCCTCACCTCTAAGCAATCAATGACAGCCAGCTGGTGCTCTTCTGCAATATCTGGATTTATTTTTATTAGCCGGCCCAGAGCATCAATGCCCATGTACTTAAGATTATGACTATCACTCTGCAATCAACGAAAGGGATGAATAAGTTGGTTAGCCTCCAAAGAACACAACATGCCATTTGTTTTTCCCATAATAAAGATCATGTGCAAACCTTCAGAAACTTTGATGTTGTTTCAGCTGCCGCCTCTAGCATCTTAGGGTTTGGGAAAATGGATGAAATACAGCATATGCATTCATACAGTATAGCATTGCCAATGTTGCTCGCAGTGTCACCCTTCCTGAATATGTCACCCAATACAGTGTACATATGCCCACTTGCTTGTTTATCACCACTACCAAGCACAGCAAGTATCTTCAATAGTTTTATCTGCAGATGACAGAAACGAAATCTAAGGCAGATAGCATGGTGACAACTGAAGGCTTAAACCCATAGAAGAAGCATAACTCGCACTGGCAACCTAGCAACACCTAACAAATAAATAATGTTTAATTGAAGGGATTTTGGTGTTTCTGCCCCTATTCCATAGTCCAATGGTGATTTTGCCCCTTCTTTTTTAACTTTGTGATTTTACCCTCGTTTTTTTCAAATGAAGCTCCTGTTTGCCCCTGGTACGTAACACCGTCAGAAATGGTTGGATTAAATGGCAAAAGAAAAAGAAAAGGCACCCACACCAAAAGACAGTTTTACCCTTCAGTCTATTTCTCCTTCCTCTCGGTCAGTCGAACCGCTCCCGAGGTCGTAAACCAGAGTCGCGGCAAATCCTGTGTTAGGGTTTACTCCTGCGCGCGGCGCTGCCTCCTCCTCCTCCTCCCCCCCCCCGCACACACACACACCGGCTCGTGCCCATGGCTCGTCCTCCCTCCGCCCTGCTCCCACCGGCGGCGCAGGTACCGGCTGGGGCGCCCGCGCGGCGGAGGCCGCTCCGACCCCTCACCCCGGCTCGGCGGCGTGGGTCTCGCTGAAGGCCTCCTGGCAACGTGACCCTCCCCTGCCGCGCGGGCGACCCACAGACACGCGCCCTCGGTGAACCCCCCTGCCACCACGACACTTCCAGAGGCTGTGCGCAGGTGGATCTGCTGACTGCTGCGGAGGCTGCGTCTTGCCACAGCCCACAGAAGCACCGTCGAATGCTAGAGCGGCGGCGGTGTGCCCCGACCACCGAGGACTGCAGCAGCAGCTGCAGCTCCTCCTCGTCAGTTCTCTGCAAAGGACGGCACGTCGGGCCTGGGCGGCGACGAGGCTGCAGCGCCGCCGCGGTGCTCCCCGCTGCCATTCGATCTGAACATCTGGCCGCCGACGAGATCGACTGGCGCTACGACAAGCTTCGTGTTGCAAATCCGGCGGAGCAATGCGTACCGCTAAGTGCTATTGTGATACCTCTCCATAGAATTTAATATTTTTTCCACTGCTTCTTTAATCTCTTTTTTACCACTGCCAAGATTCGGTAGTAGTAGTACTTTGTGATAATGTGAATAACTCATCATGTAATCCGTGGAAGGAATCTGTAGAAGTGAAACGCAGCCACAGACATAACAAAATCATTATGCTTATGCCCCTAATTGAGGAATCAGGATTAGCAGAGTAACATCTTGACATCTTCAGTCCAAGCCCAGCTGAAAGGATCTGATCTGATCTTGCAGCCCGAAAACCATTCAGATCAGGGACTGCATCCCGACATAATTACTGCCTTACAGGCTTCGCCATCGTCATTAGACAGCTGAAATGCTATCTATTTTTTTTCTAACAATTGTTGAATTGTGAACTGATTAAATTGTCTAATTTTGTATTAAAGTTGCCAAAACTTTGAAAACACAAATATAAAAAACAAACAGGGATAAAAACGCATGGGCAAAGTTGTCATTTCGTCCAAAAGTTAACACCGTTAGAGGGACTTAACAGACCAGGGGTAAACTCTTCCTTCGTTTAAAAATAGAGGTAGAAACGCTTAAGCCCCTTAATTTAACTCACATACCTGAATAAACGGTGCGGGTATTTGGTGATAATCATAGGAAGTCGGAAGCCTCCTCTCCACAACTTGTTTGAGGATGTTAACAAAACTAACAACTAAATCCTTGTACGAATTTGGTTCCTCCAAAATCAGGTCATAGAGGGGGCATAGAGTTGCACCCATCACCCCTGGATCATTATCACAGAGCCTCTGTATAGCAACAAATAAATTCAGAACCTCATTGCTCCGTGCAGAGATTAAATAAGAAAAGTTATTCTTTTTTTTGAAGATAAGAAAAGTTATTCTATCTTGCAAGAATTTAAGAACACAAGTAAATGTACTGCACATGCAAAAAATTCATTTTGGGAAGTCCATCCATATTCGGTCCAAATTTGCAACCTGTGAGTGACATCCTAAACATCAAGGAATGTGAAAAGGGCCATTTCTAAATGCATACTAACATTCATCTTGAACAGAATTGGCAGTAGGGTGCCTTTGAGGCAAAATTGTAGCTTATGCATGATCATTATGAGCTATTCAATATCGGTTCGGTCAGTTATTATATTAAAATATGGACTTAGCACCATAAAAATGAAGGGGAAAAGTGCCGGACCTTGCGGAAGTTGGAGACAAGGTGGGAGACGGAGGAGGGGGATCGCTGGTAGAACCGGTGTAGTGCCATGACGGCCTTCTTCCTCACAGCCTCCTTGGGGTGCGCGAGCAGCTCCACGACCTGGGGCAGCACGGCGGGGATGGCCTCCTCACCAATGAGGCGGCACGCGGCGGTGAGCGCTGCGCAGACGACGAGGTAGTTGTCCGACCTGAGGTCCTTCTGGATGGTGTTGACCACGAGGATGACGAGGTCGTGGCGCTCGTCGAGGAAGAGCGCGACGGCGAGGTAGCCGGTCCGCTTGAGCGGGAGCGACTCGTCGTGGGTCATCTTGACGGCGTGGATGTGGCCGAAGGAGGCGTCGTGGCCGAGCATCTCTGCGTAGACGAGGCGGAGGAGGAGCTCCTTCATCTTGCGGCGTGGCACGTCGGGGTCGGCGAGGCGGCGCTTGAGGTGCTCGAGCTCGCGCGCGATGATGCGGTCCTCCTCCGCCTTGGAGCGCACCTCGCCGATGGACTTGACGAGGTCGAGGAACTCCTTGGACTGCCCCCACCCGCCCTGCGACCCCATCGCCAGCTCCCGCCCGATCGTCCGCAGCTGCTCCATTACCGGCGCCCGCTCCGGGTTCCTCGGCGGCGCACGCGTGTGGCTCGACCGCCGCCGGCTGGAGTGGGAGAGTGGAGAGGTAGAAGAGATCTGGATCGGCGAGTGGGGGACAGCCGGGGGGGTGGGTTTGCTTGGAGATCGGGATCGGGATTAGCGACGGACGGGAGGGCCTTCTTTTTTCCTTTTTTTTCCCGTCGTTTTACTGAAATTTGTTCTGATTTGCAAGGGAAGTTAGCACAAAACTCTTTTTATCTTTCACTCCTCGATCAGAATCTGCACGAAATATTTAAATCGTGTACTAAACTCTGTTTCAAAATGATTCAACAGTTTGATTTTTATTGTTCAAACTCTCACTGATGACATTTACTACTTACTTTATATTAATTAAGTGGAAAGTATCCTTAGATTTGGTATCAAAAATACTATAGCGCGTGGCGTTATATTTGTGCAAACAAAGTTCTTAGTAATATGGTAAATTGGGTGTCAATAGTAATGCACTAGTATACTAATTTGATTATGTTATATAATATATGATAATTTTAGCATATTAATGTAATTACTGAGGTTAGGGCTTAGTTACTGGAAGCGGGAAATGAGATGGAGCTTAGAGAGGGTGGTTTTGAGAGGAGGGAAGACTAGTGGCAGCGGGACTCAACGATGGGAGACAACATATCTAACATAATAGCGTCACTGGAACGTGTGTGACACTCATTCGGTTTAAATTAAATAATTTTTAGATGACCAATGTCCCGTTTATTATTACAGAGGCCTCTTATCCGTGTTATTCTTGTTAAAGAGCCAACGGATTATATACCTAAACGATAAGCTCTGTTTTAAACTTTTGTGAAAGGCAGGTTTTAACCTATTTTTTGAATTGCAGTATAGACGCAGACACTCTTATATGTACGCACACTCACCGGTCACCCATCACCCTTATGAACGCACGCATACACAGCCTACTCCTTTGAGCACATCCGAAGAACTAAGACTGAGATTGTAGATCAAGAGATTGACGAAGGTAGGCTTTATCCTAAATTTGCATTACATTTTTTTTCCAAATGCTGAGACATCATATTCTCCAAGAATAGATTGTTTTATTATTCCAACAAGTTTTTCCTTTGTGCTAATTGCAACATATATTTTTCAAATATTGTGACATCAGGTTCTCCAACAGTACATTGTTTTATTACTCTATCAAGTTTTTTTTTCTTTGGTGGCAATAATAATGTATTGTTTTTCTCATAGTGGAATCTACAATAGTATATTGTTTTATTACTCCCAAGTTTTTTTTGGTGGTAACAAGTATTACTTTTCTTGGAGTGGTTTCGATTAAACTAGTTTCTTTTTTTTACATTTCACCCTTTGTGAATCGAAGTGCAGACGCAAATGCTTACCAGTACGTACGCAAATCCGGAGTCTCTAAAATATTGAGCTGGTATGTCTCTAGATTAAAAAAAAAAGGTTATCCTAAACGCCTTGCTATTGACGAACACTTTCAGCTGGGGAATTTTGCATGCTCAAAAGGTTGTTATCATGTTAACTGAGACTCCGGCTATGAAGAATACAACCATAGTCAAGCATGTAATAATGTCTTTCTTGCTTCCAAAGTCCCCAAGCTACTTCACTGCAAGTCAATTGACTGAGGTGAACCTCTCTCTTTTCCAAATTGTAAGTCATGTTAGCATTATCACAAAATCAAACTTGTCTAACCTTAATCAAGTTTATAGAAAAGTATATTGATATCTACAATATCAAATATATACACTGTCAAAATATATGCTATAGATGTTATAAATGTTTATACATTTTCTATAAACTTGATTAATAAAATTATAAGGTTTAACTTAGAATAAATCTAAAACTGACTACAATTTGATTTGGAACAAAGAGAGTAGTAGCGTTTCATTGAGATAATTAGCCCACTGAGATGTTTCGTCAACATGCTCAATGTTTTTACTGGCTACGTGCATCGCTAGAATGATTCATCACTACACAAAAGTTAATTCTTTACATTGAAATCACTTTCTTTCCAATTACAAATTACAGGTTAATATAAAATTTACACCAAGGGCACAGTGAATGTCATCAGCAAATCACGCTGAGCTCAGTAAATGTGTCACCAGCAAGCTGCAGTGAGCTCACATCGCTCTAGCCTCTAGGCCCAGCGAGTACACTGTGGCCCCATTCGCTTCTCTTATAATCTATCTTTTTCAGCTTATTTTTCTCTCACAACAAATCAGCCGAAATAGTATTTCGGTTTGTTTTTTCAGCGAAGTGAACGGGAACCTCGTGAACTGTAGTGAGTTTCCTCGTTTCAAATCTGGCAGCCAAACATTTTTCTGATTTTCGTCAGGAGTGCAACGATAGTTTAGCAGCTCCTGAGACAAAACCACCGAGGATATTCTGATTGCACAACATTTCAGTTCACCAAAAGACTAATCTGCCTCCCCAAGTCCGTTGCTGCCATCTCCTCTTTTTGTTATCGGAGCCATACCACCACGTTTCTTGCCATGGGTTGCTACCTCTGCATTTTTTCTCAACACAGCACCCGGTGAGGAATATGGTCTTTGTTGGAACAAAGGTCCCTGAAATTAAAACATAAAAAATGAGGCCTCATTATTCCGAGTATAAAACAATCAGAATTTGGTGTCTGGATGAATAATATTTCATGTTTGTATAGAAATCCCATTATTAGTGGCCAAGTGACCTCCACATAATCCTGAGTCCCCCATAACATATCCATATGAATTACAGAGAGAAAACACCACTTCATGACCGGATACAAAGTTCTTAATGTTATTAATATCCACTACAGGCTAGGAGAATACAAAATAAATCTTGCAAATCAAAGAACATACAGCTGCGGTAGTATCTGCTGCTCGTGGTTGAACACCCTTCAAACCAACAACCCTGCAAAAACAAGAGTGCAGCACCATTAATACAGGGGCACACATAATTTATTATGCATACATTCTTTCTTGGTTGCACAAAGCTAAAATAAGAATACATTAACAGCAAACACCATGAAAGCTTGCAAAAGTCAACTGGATAATCATTGAGAAGGAAGAGAGATGTCATGTACCAGCCACCACGTGGAGCATCTGAGTAAGAACTCGGGTCCATTGGGTCAAGCTCATCGTCGTCGGGGCGATTTCTTTTGCGGTGATCTTTTCTATTTGTTTTCCCTAAGGGTGGTTTTGAGCTTGATCTGCATGTAAAGGAAGCAAATGACACTTTTCTGCTTAAGTAGCTGAGGCCAGACATAAAGTAGTGCATAGAGCACATGGAAGAAGCACAGCCATGGAGCAAACCAAAATGCTTGTATTATTATACCTGTCCTTAGCTGAAACATTCCCCTGAGTTTTGGGAGCATTGTTACCACTGGCGTGCATCGTATTATTTGCATAAGTTGGATACTGTTGAAAAGGAAGATTTTGAACCCTGCCATGAGTATTTACCAGCAAACAGTTTAGCTATGTTTCTCAACGTTTGTTCATTTGGATTTGGTGTTACCAATGGTTCATAAATCATAACATAATAAAGACAACATGCAAGATTAGATCTGGTGCTATATTGGCAGCACACAGGTCAATGACAAAATCATGAATGTGGGTTAGATCACAGAGATCCATTCAAAAGTATCATTATATAACAATATCATGTCATCTATACGAGATTCGAGATAGATAAAATCATAGTCACAAAGTTCCCGGGCCAACGGAGTCATGAAACATGGTACACTACTTGCGAGAGGTTTTTACACGGTGGGGTCGAAGATGACCCTGCTTTTATGAACCCATGTACCCAGGTCAGGGATGTCGTTCCCGAGTCGAGGGTCAGTGCCTTCAAGCCCATTTTATGTGACTACGCATAAAATTAATAAATTATAGATCAAGCTTCACAATAAAACATTTGATCAACTTAAATGGGTGAGATTAAACAGATTACCTTGTGCAGTGATTGCAGTATCCCCAGGGTTGGACAAGACCAACTCCCCATCCGCCACAGCCCAAACATCTCTGCATTTGAGAGTTCCAAATATCTGCAGTTTGAGCGACTGGCTCAACTGCAGTGTTGGTGGAAGCTAGAGGTGTAATACTGGTGTTCGCAGTAGCAGGAGGTTCCCACTGTGTTGTCTGTGTCTTTGTGTTATAATAGTATTTGTGGCCTAATATTAATGCACATGACACATTAGACTGAGGATGGTAATGCCACACATGCACACTATCAGCAAGCAATTAAAAAAACATAACAAAGGTCATGAAAAGGTCTCATGTAATTTTATTGTATTAAATGTTCTAAAGGATGGCTTGTCCAACTCAGCTTCCTATTTATAGCTTAATGTCTGGCCAGTTTCTGGTCTTGCATCTGGAGTTCTGGACATTTCAAATTTTTTTGGAACCTTTGAAAGTTCAGGGCTAATGTATATGAGCCAAGTCTGAGATAAATTAGAATTTTTTGCTCTTCTACCTGTTGATTTGTCAATTGCCTCCTCCCAGTTCTCTGGCAAGGATGGAGGAACTTGATGTTGCATGATATTCAAAACATTGCCAGGGCGATCCCATTGACTCACTCCGGTGCTTTGATTGTAGAAGTAAGGTGCACCAGTTGTCGGGTCCTTTGCTTCAACCTGAATCCAAACAAGTCAGCCTTAGTGCAGAATAGCCAGCTCTTGTGCATCTATACTACCTCCCTTCTCTGCTACCTATCCTTTTGGACATGAAAACAATCTCCAGCACACACACACCCTGAACAATACTTTTTCCAATTATATGTTCACAAAATTACTGAAAGATAATGAAGTGGAAGTCATTTTTGTGACAAATCTATTAATATCATTGCAATGTGGCAGATCTAATTATCTCAGTGTACATTCATGGTCAAATCCATAAAAAAGGATGGTTGCATTCATCCTATGATTGGACAAAGGTAGTAATTATTATCCTCTTATCCTATAAACCACAGTGAAAACAAATAGAAAATTGTTATCAGTTGATGGTACCCCTTGTATTGGTGCACTGTGAACTGGTCAAGAAAACATAGTCTATTGGCTAAACATTTCAACCGATAACCACGTGACAAAGCAGAAAAATAACCAAAAAACAAAGTACTTGGGCACAAACTCACCTGACCGGGAGGCAACTCTTGCGCAGATTTGTTCTGGCTTTCTTGAGAATCCACCTGTAATTCAGTGGCACAAAACGAATGACATATCAATTAACACAAAAAATGTGCTAGATAAAAATATCAATTGCACATCAAGTTTGTCATATGTGCAAGCTAATGATAAAGACAAAAGGCATATTTTCTAACATTTTTCAGTATCATCAAATTTCCCACTGTTCTTTTGGATTTATGTAGGCAAGTCCACTTTTAATCAACCATACAGTTTTCATTAGTTCATATGCTAGATAATATCTTTTTCCATGCCCATGTGGCATTTTTTTCTTTTCGAACCAAGTATAAATGCAGAAGTTTGTAAAGAACAAAACCAGAGAACAAACAAAGAAGACTACTGTCGGTGTTTTCGGACCACCGACGAGTAAATTTGTATTTGCACGTCTGGCTCGGATGGTGTGCTCGGAGGACACAAGGGTTTATACTGGTTCGGGCGGAACGTCCCTACGTCCAGTTCACTGCTGCTCGTGTTACCGGCACTTGGTTTTGCAGTAGGGGTTACAAACTGGCGAGAGAGGGAGATGATCCCAAGTCTCTGGTGGAAGGAGTGAACGGGTGCTGAGAGCTCGATTACCGCTTAGCCGTGTGCTCGTGTCGTGCTCTTGTGTTTTTATCTTACCCCCTCACCGTGAGGCGCCCTGCTTCCCCTTTTATAGGCGAAGGGAAAGCGCGGGTTACAGAGGAGGAAAATGAGAAGAACGAGAGAGAGAAGAAGGCTTCTAGGGTTGTCGGGTCCGTCTTCTCCTTCATGCGGATCCCGCCGATTCTGTAGATGTCAACAGGGATGGCTCCATGTCGCGGCCCTGTTCGTCACTGGCGCCATGCGTAGGCGTCATCTGCCGGTCATGGCATTCTACTCTGTCCCGGCGGACGTCGTGGTGAACTGATGCGCCTGTCAGCGTTCGTACGAGGGTTAGGCAGAACAGCACTGGCACGTCCGACACTGTTCTTAATGTGAATCCCCAGGTATGGTCCGTCATGACCACGGGTTACATCGAGGTGTGCCAGCCTCTTCCCTAGTGTCAGAGTTTTGACCTAGGCTCATACGCTTGGACTTGGAATGGTTGGCGGCGGTATGGGTCCCCGTCGAACAAGACGGAACCTGTGTCCTCGAGGTCGGGTGAGACGAAACCCACGACCTTGGGCGAGACGAAGCCCGCGTCCTCGAGGTCGGGTGAGACGGAGCCCGCGTCCTTGGGGTCGGGCGAGGTGAAGCCCGTACCCAAAGGGTCGGGTGAGACGGAGCCCGCAGCCTTGAGGTCGAACAAGACGGAGACCGCGTCCTTGGGGTCGGGCGAGACGGAGCCCGTGGCCTTGGGGTCGAGCAAAACGGAGCCTGCACCCAAGGGGTCGGGCGAGACGGAGACTGCATCCTCGGGGTTGGGCGAGATGAAGCCCGCACCCAAGGGGTCGGGCAAGACAGATCCCGCGGCCTAGATATCGGGCGAGACGAAGCCCGCAGCCTTGAGGTCAAACGAGACGAAGCCCACGGCCTTGGGGTTGAGCGAGACCTTTTAATATATCTCGAGCCATCCCGGGAAGTCAGCATGGGCACTAACTTTCTTGCTTTGGGTATCCCTAATATCGATACCCAACAGTAGCCCTGAGCCTATGGATGAGTAGAATACTTCTTTCAAAGCTTTTCTAGACGGGAGGACTCTGAGGGCCTTGGCCTTCTTTTTGTAGCCCACGGCGTGTCCTGGTCGGATGACGATTCCCTTTTATCGTGATCGGTCTTTTTGGGGCATGTAACCGTAGGGTTCAGGAGGTCGGAAAGATTTTTCTTGATTTTGATCCCCTAGGATCCGATCGGCCCGCCGTCGTACTGCGACCGCGTGTTCAGTCTCCTTATGAGTCCAACTTCCCTTGAGCCCCCACGCGTAGCAGGGATCCAGTCGAGGGTCATCTCGTCTTTGTGATCGTCATCCCTCAAGCGTTTTTTCGATAAAACAGAGGGGCTGAGCCGTGCCACATTTTTCCTCGATGGACGAAACATGGTGCTCGATGAGCTGTTAACGGGCTAATCCGAGTGGGGCCCTGGCTTTCCGTTCATGGGGGTCCGATATGGGTCAACTGGTGATCGACTCTAGACTCTTGGCGGCCAATCCATATAGTTCTTGGGTCCGTTCAGCCGGTCCCAAGGGCTCATCGCCTTTCTTTGAGAAAAAACCATGGACTAGGAACTGACCAAGACTCGAACGTGGGGCCAGGATGCCGACGATGCTTGTGTGCCCAGGTACTGGCCGCTAGTGGGCCCATCCCCTTTCCACCCCTTGCTCTAAGGGTGCCCTAGAGCGGCTGTGAACCCGTTGGTGGACCAGCCTTCGAACTCCTGGTCCTGAATGGGCCGTAGGAGTGTTTTTAGCTCTGTATCCCTCCTTACCTGCGATGGTTCTTGGCCCATCGATCGGGCAAACCATCATCCGGCGTGTCCTTTGAGGGCACGGCCAGAGATAGCGTGCACACAATCTTCGGAGAGAGGTGACGTGACGAGGCGCAGTGGGTGCGTGAATCTAGGCGAACGGTTCGCCTTCTCGCCCCGCTCTATCCTATAAATAGCGGCCTCCCCCTTCATGTTTCTGCACACCAAAACCACAGCCTTACCTTCTCCATTTCTCCACCACCGCCGTTCGGATCTGCCGTGCTTGCTAATCCGCCGTCAGAGCCCTAGATCTATAGCTTCCACTTCTCCGCCGCCGCCTTTGCTTCTCCGTAGCCGCCTCCATCCTTCATGGATTCATGGTACTGCTCCGATGTTACCCATGCGCGCATGGAGGGACTCATCAAGCGTGGTCTTCTCCATGGGAGGATCGATGCGGCGAAGTGGCTCATGCTCGGCTGTGAGGATGCGCCGGTGCCGCTCGACGGCTACGTCGTCTCCTTCAAGCCCTTCCATGAGTGCGGACTCGCAGTTCCTCCCTGCCCATTCTTCCGGGGTCTATAGCACCACTATCAGATCGAGCTACAACACTTGAACCCCAATGAGATCCAGCACATCGCGGCCTTCATCGCGATGTGCGAGCGGTACCTGGGGATCGAGCCCACTTTGAGCTGTGGAGATATTTCTTCTCCATCTCCTTGATCAAGAAGGAGAGAGGCCGGGAGACCCCGGTGCCGATGGGATGCGCAGGCATCCACCTCCGAGGGCAGCGGGCGGCCGAGTACATGTCCTACCAGCTCTCCAGATCCAACAAGGGGTGTCACTCACATTGGTTCTACCTGAAGGACGACCCTGCCGCTCCCTTGCTAGTCTTCTCTAAGCACCTGGTCAAAGAGGTACAACCATGATGGCTGTGGGGGACACCCGTCAAGGAGAAGAAGAGGATGCATGACCTCCTCGAGGCCATCGCGTTCCTAAAGACCCATGACCTTCGCAGGGCCGGCATCATTGGGGGGTATCACGTGAGGAGGGTGGCACCGCTGATGTCACGTGTCCTCCCACTGTATGCGATGACGCCAGGTGCGTAGCTCATCAGGATGACGCTCGCCCAGGGGCTGCTCCGCCACAACGAGGTCGCGCAGCACATCAAGGAGGCCATAGGGGAGGCCAACGCCATGTTCCCGATCCTAGGGCATCCTATGATGCGGCCAGACACGGGCTTCATCGAGCTGCCGGTGGGGTTAGTCTTTCGAGACTCTATTGCACCACCGCTAGAGCACGCGGCCATGAGGGCGGTGAACCATGCTGTGGATGAACAAAGGAACAAGAAGAAGGACGACAAGGAAAGGAAACGGTGGTCGAAGCAGCGAGCGAAGCTGTAGTGAGGGAAGCGGCGTCAAGGTTCATCGGAAGAAGAGGAGGAAGAAGAAGAGGAGGAGGAGGAGGATGGCTCCATGTCACCCATCTCATGGGATGATCTGGACACCAGGGACGAGAACCCACCTTCGCCGCAGGCGAAGCCCTTCCTACGGCATGCCACGGGGCAGGAGGGGGAGGACGCGCCCCCGGAGCTGGTGGAATCAAAACGTCCCGCCCCGTCCGGTCCTTCGAGGGCGGCCTTGGAACCGATAGAATCAGGCCGTCTTGCCTCATCTGGGCCTTCGACGGTGGCCCTAGAGCCGGCAGAAATAGGTCACCCCGCTCCGTCCGAGCCCTCGGCGGCGCCTCCGGAGTCAGCGGGAGGCGGTCGTTCTGATTCGTCCGAGCCCTTCGAGCCGAGGGAGGGCTCGAAGCGGCAATGTCCCGACGAGGAACAGCCAGGGTCAAGCAAGCCGGCCCCAAAACATCCTCGCATGATGGCATCAGGGTGAGTCAAAAGTTTTTCCATCCTTTTGTATTAACGAATTTTTGCCGTGAAATGACCACATGTCCCTTGTAGCGTTAGAGCACGTGGGACTCTCCTGCGGCTCACTCCGAAAAAGATCCTCCTCCGGCAAACACGCTAGGAGCCAGCTGGCGCCACACCGGTGGTGAGCGTGAGTGGTGTTGGGGCGGCCACGGCGTCGACCGGGGAGGCGCAGCCGATGACTGCATCCATGGGAGAGCAGGCGGAGGAGGGCGCGTCCAGGGCACCCGTGGCTAGTGCGACGTGGCCAGTCGTGTCCTTGACATCGCAAGTGGAGGTGGCATGGTCGGAGCCATCGTCTGTGTAGGTGGCCATGTCCGTAGTAGTATGGACGGAAGGGGGTGCACTCGAGGCATCCTTCGTGGATGTGGCGATAGGGCAGGCCTCCGTGGCCACGTCACCCACCCCCTCTATCACTAGAGGAGCCACTCTAGAGGAGCTGCCACCGCAAGAGAGGTCGGCGCTGCTTGAGGTCGGTGCAGGGACGTCCTGGTCTCTGGTCCGGGTGGTTGCCCTCGATGAAGCAGCAGAGGAGAGGGAATGAGGGAGCGTCCACACGGAGGTTGGGGACGCGGTTCACGTCCTAACCACCATGTTGAGCTCAATGCGCAACATGGTTGCCCTCGTTGGCCAGGTATGATATGACAGTGCTTCCGACCCCCATGTTCTCTTTCCGTGCCTCTAAGTCTTGTCTTCTTCGCAGATCCTTATGGCCCATAGCCGAGAGAAGTCCTAGTTCCTTGCTGAGGAGACGCTACGGAGTGAGGGGTTGGCCGCACAGCTCACTGCCGCCCATTAGGAGGTGGCTGAGCTTGCCCCTACCGCCTGGGAGGTGGCCGACCTCTGAGCCAGGGAGAAGAATGCTCGCGACGATGCCCGCAAGGCCGAGGAGAAGCTCGTGGCCCTGATCGAGAGGGAGGACACGGATGTCGTGGAGGCCGAGCGGCTATGGAAGGAGCAGGACGATTTGCTCCGAG